TAATTTTGACCTTTAATAAAGTTTCTCCAGACTTCAATCTTTTATATACTTGACTTGTTATAATTAAAAATTATCGAATTCTTATCCTTATATCCTGATAAATCATCGTGAATACATTTTTACAGCATTATTTTTGATCAATTATCATGAATCTACGTTCATGGCTTTATTAAATTACCTATTATATTGTTATTTACATGTGCTTCATGCTTGGCCTCATTGTTAAAATTACTTAGAAGTGATCTGTAAATCCATATAATTAAATAAACTATACCACTTGCTAAATATAACTTTATTATATTAACTCCTTGATTACTATACATTGTACATCACATCCTGATATCCCTATCATTAAGACAGCTTAATGATCTCATTTATTTATTTATTAATTATATTATATAATTATTACAATTACAACTATCCACCTATCGTTATACCTAATCGCTTCCTTATTAACCTATATCCATTTCAACTCTATATAAAGAAATCTTACTTCCTAATTAATCCTCCTGTCATTTATTATCACTAATCTAATTCTGGCCTGATTACTGACACTCTCCTGAAATTATGATAGTAATATTTGGTGCCGATTGTGTGGATATCTCCTATCAGTTTTCAGAATCATATGAATAATTTTGACCAACATACTAGAAACATTACGGAACATGATCGTCATCACTATCTATTTAGAAAGACACCTCAAGTTATTAATTATCTAACTCAGTATTATCCTAACGACTCTTGCTCTGTTTGTCATCCACCTCAACTTCTTTCTCCACAATTCCAAAGATTTTGGCTTTGGTTCGATACTTTTCAACTGGCTATGTCTTTTTCTCAACACGCTATTTGTCAATTTGAAAAGCTCTCTAACTTTAATTTTAATCAAATATCTGATTGGTTATTGCAAGCCTTTATCTTTAGTTTTCGATACAAAGGATAGCCTGATGATTACCCAACTCTTCTAAACAAATTTTTCACCACTTATCAAGAAACCGATTGTTTTAATTTAGACCCCTATGACGAAACCTATGAAAATAGAATACTTTTGCGAAAGAAAACATAAATCAAGACTGTAATCAACCCAAGCTTCTCTCCTTATTGACCCTAATGATGATAACAATTAACAACCACCTATCACTCAAAATAATCAAGCTAATCTCCAAAATGACTCTATGACGTTTTTAACCATCAGATAGGCAACTTTGTTCTTCAAATACAAAATAATTCTGCTTCTCAAATTAATATTCCTATTATTAACCTCCCCACCCATAATCACAAACTCAACCTAGTCTCTTACTCTGACTTTTCCAGTAGAGAACAGGACCCCATTACGTGGTTGGAAGATATTGAAAAAGTGTTCGAAGCTAACTAGGTTCAAGATAATTATAAGATTCCTGTTGTTATTTCCTACTTAAAAGGGACTGCCGCCATCTGGTGGGTTGCTGCCAAGACTATTTACCCTGCTATTGATCATTGGAATGATAATCATCATCAAGATAAGAGTTTTCACACACACTTTGTAGCCTAATTTAGGACTCCTGCTCTTGAGAGCATATGGTTCGCTCAATTAACTCAATGTAAACAAGATCCTACTAAAGAAGTTGACTCTTATCATATGTTCATCGAGAAGCTTCTTCAGTATGTCGAATCAGGTGGACATCGTTATTCCGGAACTGCAAAGGCTTAGAAGTTTATTAACGGCCTTAGACCTAAGCTCTCTACTGCGGTTTCCTTATTCATATCCAATACTTTAAATGCAGTATATGAACGTGCCAAGACATTCGAAAACTTATTTAAACAAATTCTCCTATATCATAATCCTTATTTAATGGCAATTTCCCATGTTTCACCTTATAGCATCCCTAATTCTTTGGTTCTTAACCCCCTTTCTAATAATCTCTCTATAGTTGGTTCTCTCGTAGTCAGCCCTCCTAAGACTGAGGAAGTTCTTGTTAAGCTGACTGAAGCCATTATCACAATGATGATGAAGCTACAAGAGCCCAAGAAAACTCTTTGTGTAATCTTAGAAACTGAAATAATACTCTTAGATATCCTTGCAATCGGTGTAAACAAATAGGTTATTATGTTTGAAATTGTTCTAACCCGTTACCTCAAGCCACTAGAAATAATATAGCTACTAGAAGTAACACTGTCTCTCTCTTGGTCAGAATAATGGTGCTCGAAATAATCCTCCAACAAATAATAACAACAACATCTCGGCTCAGACTGAAGAGAACGAGGCTCAGACTTTTTTGAACCTCCATATCGATGATAATGATCTCTTATTCCTTCTTGCCAAAGAGTCTGAACAAATGGCCATTAATAAAAGACATCGCATTGATAAGCCAGTTTTTGAAGGACAAGACAAAGAAATGACATCTTCTGATAATACTGAGGGGGCTTCTAAAAGACAGGATCAGGAGCAAAGTTGGGTAGAGGTGATATCAAAACAGCTATGCCTAGAAAGAAGAAGGTCAAAGCTAATCTCTTGCAAATTTTCACTTT